TGAAACTGGTATACCTATCTCGCGAAAAGAAAAATGGAATCGCAACAAACTAAAATGAATTTTAAAGGGGAAGAGTAATTCTAAATGATGCCTTAGTAGAAATTGTTGTTTTCATAATATAACCTCAAATATCGCCAAAAACCGTGTTTTTGGTACTTTGAGGTTTGGATATCTCACGTGCTAAAGCAATTCCGCGGCCATATTTGGATTCAGCAGCAAAATATCTACAAGATACGATGTGGTCAAAGGGCTTTCACACAAATTCGTTAAAGTTTTAATCGGTATTTGTTAATTCGGTAACGCTATTTTGCTATTATTATCAGCTGATTGGTCATTTACAGCTTACGCGCTTATGGATTTTATTTTGATTATTTGATACAATTATATTATTTTAAGATAAATTTATATAAAACACACTTCATATTAAACTTACTCATTATTTGTACATCTATTTATGAATTAAATATTATTGTTTAGTTTGTAACTGACTTAAAAAAAAGGAGGAGGTTATAAATTTTTCGGAATATTTTTTTCTTTGCTTTTTATGTATGTTACCCTATAACTTTGGAGCACGTTCATCGATTTATATAATGTTTTTTTTTTTTTTTTTTTTTTAAGGAAAAGTGGTACCTCCGAGGTAGTCCCATACTAATTGGGTTTAGATCCGATGATTTGATCATGAAGAAATTAACGGTACTCTAAAATTATATTCAACAATTTTTATGAGCTTGAGGCCATTTCAAGTGAAAACTTATTGTGGAAAACGGCCCCAAGCTCATAAAAATTGTTGAATATAATTGTTATAAGGCCATAAAATAACAAAAAACAAGTAGTATATAATAAGGTATATATAAATTAGTTTCGATAAGGGGGAGTGGGACATCCCATAGGGTGGAAATTTTTATCAGTTATAACTTCGGAGCGATAAGTCACATGAACTTCAAATTTGGTATGCAGACATATCTATGGAGGGTGCTTATAGTAGGCTATATATATGTATATGAGTTTGTAAGAGGGGGCGTGGCACATCCCATAGGCGTGAAATTGTTTACCAGCTATAACTCCGGAACCATAAGTCACATAAGATTGAATTTGGCATGCAGATATATCTATGGTGGGTTCTTATAGTAGGGTATATATAAATGAGTTTGTACAAGAAGGCGTGGAACATCCCATGGGCGTGAAGTTTTTAAACAGATATAACTTCGGAACCACAGGTCACATGAACTTGAAATTTGGTGTGAAGATATATGATAAATGCCTATAGTAAGGCATATATAATTTTTTTTTTCTTTGAAGGGGACGTGGCACATTCTACAGGCGTAAAATTTTGTATCAGCTACAACTCCGGAATCATAATTTACCAGAATATGAACTTTGGTATGAATACATATCCATAGTAAGGTTTGTATACATGAGCTTGGGAACGTGGACCATAGGTGAGGAATATTTAAACAGCCATAAATTGGGATCCATAAGTCAAATTAACTTGAAATTTGGTATGCAGACATATATGTATTTGGGAGGTATTTAGTGTAAAGTATATATAAATAAGTTTGTAAAAGGGGATCTATTAGATAACTCGGATACTTAAAACTGTGTGTTTTTTTTTAGCCTTACAGTCCTTAGACCATTTCGAAATGGAAAGATTAAATCGTTTTTTTGATCCCGCGATGCTATTAAACGAAAAGTGTTCATTCACAATAAAAATAATAAACTCCTTTCGAAATAGGCAGCTAAATGGAATGTGCCGTAGTAGACTAATTTTAATTTAAAAATTCTATCGTTACCTTAATCCACCTAATATTAATAATGAAACAAGATTTGTAGTACAGAAAATAATGACAAATATATAGTTGTTGTTGTCGGCCGCTGTGGTGTAGTGGTAAGCAGTGCGCACTTCCATTCCGCAACACCTGGGTTCAAACCCAGGTCAAAGCAACATCGCAAAAAATATAGAAAAAAAGGTCTTTTCTTAACAGCGGTCGTCCGTCGGCAGGCAATGGCAAACCTCCGAGTATATTTCTGCCATGAAAAATAGCTTCTCATAAAAATACAATCGCCGTTCGGAGTCGGCGTAAAACTGTAGGTCCCTCCGCTTTGTGTGACAACATCAAGGCGCACGCCACAAATCAGAGGAGAAGCTCGGCCAAACACTAACATATGTGTAAGCGCCAATCTATTATTATTATTATATAGTTGTTGAAGCACGATGAAGCTAAAAGTATGGTTCATAAGGATGCCTTAATTTAAACAGAAAGGAAATAGTTTGACTCCTTTAATTTATGCTGAACTGAATATTTGTACTACGGTTTTATATTTTGATATGTTTACTCCCAACGTCGCGACGTCGGGTGCTTTGCTAGTATACAATATTAGGTAAATTCCAAAAACTGTTGTCTAAGTGTCGAACCTTTTACTCTGAATTTTTTGAACATTTTTGGGTAAGCAGTTTTATGGACCAAGGAATTTAAGTATAACCAACAATAGGCCGCTAGAAATTCACGTTCATTTTTTTATTTTTTTTTGCGCCGGTCTTTTATGTTTTTTTTTTTTTACTTAATACTTGCAATTTATAAAAACTGGCATTGATTTTTTTTAATTTGTTTGCCAACAATCACAGTGTGTAATTACATACCTGTACAGTTTTTATTTTTATTTAAAGAATTATTTTAACTATTTACATACATATGTATGTATATTGGAAAATCTAAAAAACGGGTAACCTTTGTGTTATTTTCACTGTTGTAAACTATATCAAGCTGGTTGCTTTTGGATAAAATTCATTGACGTATACTTAAAGCCTCAAAAAATGTGCATCAATTTGCTGCATAACTTTTGAATTAAAGGAGTTAAATTAAAAAAAAAAATAATAATGAAAACAAGTGAATTTTTTATATAATTTTTAAGAGGGCACAAGTAATTATGTCATAACTTTTGAAGCACGCCATATTCTGCTTTGAAATTTAATGGCCATTTAGCACTTATGTGTACACTTCATATGTAGTAGGTAAGAAAAATGTGCATTAAAAATAACGAAATGGCAAGTAACTCAAAGTCTGTAACTCCACATTTCACAATTTTCAAAATTTTCGTTTTATCGCGTATGGTTTTTGAAGCATTTCATTTTAAGAACCTTTTAAGTATGTATTTTATTCTACAAACAATTACGAATAATTTGATACCTTTGCAAGAGGTGTGCTTTCAGAATAAACCAACTTTTAAAGATAAAATTTTATGCGATCTTGAGCGTAATTTTTATTCCAAAAACATGTTAACTGAAGGCACATTTGGAAAATACGTCGAAACGGTCTTAATCTTTCTATAACTACTAGTCCTTATAATATTACATAAAATGCTATAAAAAATTTTCTCTAGAAGTATGTAAAAACCCTGATTTAGTACTTTTAATTATGCTCCTTCCTGTAGTCAGAATATTTCGAGCGCGGTATCAAATCCAATTTATTCGACAAAGGTGCTGATAGTTGCTCTTACTTAACTGGAGCCTTCTAAATTCAATGACATCCCCAGTCTTGCCCGATTGTCTCCACTTTTGGAGATAGCGGTACTGAAAATTTTGCTTTAATTTGAACTGTTTTATAAATAACTCCCTCAGTTTTGAAGATATTTTACTAAAATTTTGCACACGCTTGTATTTTAATATTAACAATATTATTTAATCTCCTAAAATCATCGAATCGGTAACATCTAGCTCCCACATACAACTGATTGTTCAGATACGTTGTTTTGCGTTATAAATCCTCCAATTAAGCAGGTAAAAATTTATTATAGTCACTTTAACATATAGCACGCATATAATTTATTATTCAGATAAGAAGTTAGAGTTATTGCGCACAAACACATATCTGAGTAATCAGTTGTATTGGAGCTATATGTTAAAGTGAACCCATTTCGATGATTTTAAGAAATAATTAAGGTAATACTAAAAACCGTTATGTGCAAAATTTTAGTAAAATAACTTCAAAACTGAGGGAGTTATTTATAAAATAGTTAAAATTTAATTAAACTCTCAAGTACCGTTATCTCGAAAACCGGAGCCAATATGGTAAAACGGGGTATGCCAATGAATTTAGAACGTCCCAATTAAGAGAGTTCAAATTACAAAATCTTTGCTCAAAATTTATAACTTGAACAGCGTAATTTGAACCCTTACTCTTGTGTTTTCTATTTCATGTTTATTCCTCGTCTAACTTTTGAAGCATTCTATGAAAACGAATTACACTTACATTAATCGATTAACTAAGAGATTACGAATAAAATGGTATATAAAACAAACGTGTGCTCACAAATTTAAAAATTAATATTTTTTTGGAAAGTGTATCTACTTTTTAGATTTTCCCATATAAAAAGTATGCATTAAAGCGTTCGAAAATTAATGCAATAAAGTATACTACGTTTTTGGAAAGAAATTTATAAAGTAAAGATATTTAACTACTTTATGTTTGTTATTTTATGTCCTTATAACAATTATATTCAACAATTTTTATTGAGCTTGCGGACGTTTTTAATGAAAAACTTACTGCGGGAAAGCAACAATAATTTGAAAAAATGGTAGAGGTGATAGCTATTTCGGAAATCACCACATTTCCTCATCAGACTTCTTTCAGTAGGATTCGAACCGACGATCCACTTGATTCAGCCAGTTGCCTACTCACTGTGCTAAGTACGCCTTACGAATTCTTGTTGCTTTTTTCCACCATTTTACTACGAAAAATAAAACGCGGGAACGAAAAGTTTTATTTGTTTTTCAAAGAAAATACTTTAACAAAAATGTACCAAAATGGGGAAAAATTTACCTTTTTACCAACTCAAATTGTTTCCACCACTTTTGGTAATAATTTATCAAAGTGGCAACCCTGATCACAAACATACATAAAATGTGTATATGTATGTATTTCGCTCTCAAACTGTATTTTTTTAATTTAAATCTAAATATAAAAGGCTTCACTTAAAAAACTTTAGCGTAGTATAACTAAAATCGAATTTCAGAAAATCTTCAATATCTCCGCTTGGGTGACAACAAGATTCAATCTATACCTAGCGATGCCTTACGTCCATTACATCGTTTGCGTCACCTAGATTTAAGGAATAACAACATAAGTTTTATACAAGAGGATGCTTTCACCGGTTTTGGAGACTCGCTCGCATTCCTCGATTTCCAGAAGAATGAGTATGTCCTCATTGAATACCTCCACCGTAAAATGATTTAATATTTATTCTTATTCTAGCATAAAAGTATTGCCGAGTATGATTTTCGAAAATCTCAACTCTCTTGAAACGCTCAACATTCAAAATAACAAATTATCACGCATTCCACTGGATATAATGGAGCCAATTACTGATACGTTGCGCATAATCGATATCACAGGTAATTTCATCTTTACTAATATACAATCATACGCTCCCAGACATTTGAATAACACACCCTTATAATCATCAGTATGTACAGTTTTCCTTTTGTTCGTTTAATATCCACTAACTTACTTTATAAAAATATAGCAAATTCTAAGTGTAAAGGGTGTACATTAGGGTGTTCTAAAATAAGTAAAGTCGGAATTTTATTGCTCTCACCCCTAGGGGGTTCTATATCGAAAAAATACCCCAAATTTTTTTTATTTTGAATCAATAACAATACCCAATTGTTTATTTAACCATTTTTTAATACATAGCATAAGAATTCCGACTTTATTTTTCCACATGCATTTTTGGACCACTCTAGTGTGCATACTTACAATGGCGGTCAAAAGTGGATGAATGGAATGGAAGATTTTTTTGGTATTTAAAAAAAAATATGGTTTATTCTTTAACAAAAATCATATCACAAGAAAGGGGATTAAATCACCTTTACAACGATATGAATCTTTTAAAAATCAGTTCATAATTTTCAGAAATATTAAGTTTTTAATTTTTCTAAGATCTGACTTTTGACCCTCTATATATAGAGTCTATAGCATCTGTAATAAAAGTTTGCACAAAAAAAAGTTATATACCGTTTAAATAAGAGAAAAAGGTGAACCACCTCTGTATTTTTACTTTTTTCGCTTTTTACATGCAATAATTAAAAATAATTTTTTACCAAAAGTCCAATTTCGAACTTCGAAGGCCCATAACTCGATTTCGGAGGCTAACTTCGAAAAATGGAGAACTCACTTTTTTACTTATGACTCAATCTCTTAAAAAAAGTTGGTTTGGTCCAATACCCAGCCGAGTGCTGTACGGTATTACACTAAAATTGAATAGGCTATAAACACCTCTGAGAAAAAAGTTTGATATTTTGATGAAAACTTGATGACTTTTTTCAGTGTTCTAAAAAACTTAAAGCTTAGGTTTATATGGTATTTCTTAGGGAATGAATTGAAGAATTTTAAAAATTAATAAATAATAATAAGTGGCAAACAACATCCTTTTGAATTTGGTCCGAAATGATAGATATGTCCAACACTGTATGTATGTATAAATATATATAATCAATGACTTTATAGAATTAAATTCTTGTAAAAATTACATAACATTGCTTTATCGATTTTTTTGTAAAGTTTTTGTTTATGTGTTTAAATCAGGGACGTGAACCGGATGAAAAATTTGGTCGGTTCGGTTTAGCGGTGCGAACCGTTTTTGCACTTTTGGATTGGTTCGACAAAGCGGTTTTTTTAGTCTGTGAACCGGGGTTTTGTTTCGGTTCAACGGTTCGGAAATAAAAAAAATAATGCGCAAGTCTAAGTGTAAAGTGTCAAGTGCAACAACGCGCAAGGTTAAATTTCAAGTGTATGTTAAATGAGATGAGTTGCCTTTACATTTGATATTGCCACATGGTAAACAAACATGGTATGAAATAGAGATGGGCACGGGCCGGGCTTTGGCCCCTGCGTAAGCCCGCGGGTATGGGCCGGAATATTTGCTGTCAGCACGAGCTCGTGCGTGCATGGGAGTTCAGTAAAATTTCATAAAAATAAAAAAAATTTTACGAATAAGCACGAAAAAGCCCGTTGCTAATACTATAAATTTAGATAAGCAAATAAAAATACAAAATAAAAATAGTACATATTTAAAACTCTTTTGATAAGAGAAAAGGAAAAAAAGAAAAATATTTGGAAACCGATAGCAAAAATAAGATACTTAGTAGTTTTGTTTACATATCTGTACATAAAACACCTTCCACTTTTTCTACTTCCCAAAAAATATATTTTAAAAATCTCTGATGTAAAAAATTGATTCGGTTAAGTAAATATACATACATAAACAAAAAATTAAAAATATGTACATACATATGTATACATATAATAAAAATTGGCTTTTTATTTCCGGGCTGGGACGTCTCCCGTCGTGCCGGGCCCCACTAAAATTCTTAACGTGCGGGCTCGTGCGTGTTTTTTAAAGTTGATTTTGCACTCGTGTCGGGCCGGGCCTGAAAATTTAGGCCCGTGCCCATCTCTAGTATGTAATTCCATATTTAACGAAAAGAAACAAAAGCGGGTAAATTTATCTATTGAAAATAGGTTTAAACGAACCTTTAAACCTTTATGAAAAGTGGTTCGGTTTTCGGTTTGGATCAAACATTTGTGGAAAATTTCGATTCGGTTAATGGTTCAGTTAATTAATAGAAAAAGTCGGTTTTCCAGTTCAAAACCGGTTCGGTTCAAAACCGGTTCACGTCCCTGGTTTAAATAATGCTACGATCTTGGTTTTAAACTACGTACACTTCATTATATGTTCATGTTTTATTTAAGAACTTATTTATGTAAGTTAACAAGAAGATTAACTTCAATAATTATGTTCGCTTAAGTACCCGCATCGAGGTACTAGCAAGCTAGTATTGCATACATACATACAAACATACTTAAATAAATAGAGAAATTCAAAAACTTCGGTCTTTTTGCAGATAATCCATTGATATGTTCATGTGAGCTTACATGGTTCCCAAAGCTTTTACAGGACCTGAAGAATCGAGATGACGAGATGGCGCAGAAGAAAAAGCCCGTTTGTCACATGCCTATCGAAAACCGACAATACTACGTACAAGCAATGCCATTGGAAAAGATGCACTGTGGCGGTATAAGCGCCGGCACATCCATCTACAATGGGATGCAGTTACGTGTGCCGCATTTGAGTATGGTCACCAACGCGGCCGTTAGCATATTTGCGTTAATGCATATATTTTAAAAACTCACCGCAACGGCAGTAAACAAATGAGCAATTACTTCGGTATATTGGCTCGCTCTGAATGCCATTTGTAAGCGAATGTGTTCAGCTATCAAATCGAATTCAACTATTTGAAGGAATTATAAAATGGAGAACTGTGAACGGATGCCTTCGGATTGTGGGCAGAAACAAAATATATATGTACATATCTACATATGTCGACACGTACGCGTAACGGTAGAGAGAGAGAGTCATAGATACGCGCCAATATATAACTGTTCAAAATTCAACAAACATACATATCATGAAAGATGCCATTAAATTCTTACACAAACATTTATATATTTAATATGTAGGTATTAAGGTTTTGTGACAATTAAAAAAAAAATCTGAGAGAATTGTATTAAGATTGTTCTATACACATACACATGTGTAAGTATATGTACACTAAAAGATTAGCCTTTTTTTTGAAAGATTTTTTGCTGAGGGTACCTAGTGTAAGAAAATAACTTTGAAACTAAGCAGCTATGTTTGTATGAAGCTTACGTGCAAGTATATTTATTGAAATTATACATCTACTATATGTATTCCTATTCAAATATTTGCTAAAAGGTATTTTCTAAATGTTTGTTAAAACTATTTATTTATACTTTCTTTTTATATACACTATTGATAAATAACGCAAATTCAAAGGGAAGCTACTAATGCAAAATAAATGTCATCGTTGTGAGATACAATCATTTTTGGGTTTGTGTAAATTAAACAAAAAAGAGTGAAGTCAACTGCAAAAATGCAACAATGAAAACAAAAACATTACAAACAAATAGTAAATGCGTTCGAAAATAGTAAACGCTTACTAAAACATTTTATTTTAAATTGTATCCAAAGGACGTGTAAAGCAAAATATGTAGCTGGTTGTTCTGTTACCCAATATTAACGCGTGACAGGAACAGGAATTAAAGCGGGACTTATTTGAATTGGAATGCGGAAGAGGCTACCGCAGGCTAGGTAGAGGAATAGAATGTGAGTTGCAGCTTATCTGTCTTAGACATTCTTTAATCGATTGCAAAAAGGGAAAGTATTACCGAACTCCAAATATAGACACACCCCCACGAAAGTCACAAGAACTGATTATGGAATAAGTAGTTTGTACTCGTAAATAATGTGAGCAAACAAAATTTTTTTTAACCGTATTATGATTACTATGTGTACAAATTTGGCTAGTTAAAATATGAAGCTTTTGATTGATCAAGACACACATACATATTTACATATGGACAGATTCAATGAGAGCAATGCTAAATCCCCAATAATTTCAGATGGGATGAATAGTTAACTACGTACTTGAAAACTACTTTTTCAGTGAAAGTTAACCTGTGGTGAATTTTTAAGCTACACTTAAAAGAGATTACACATGATACAAAAAGTGCGCAATATGACTCATGACAGATAACTTCTACCTTTATTTGACTAGTTTACTTCACTACGACAAACATTTACATTTTACATAACTCCAAACAGATCAGTTTCATTTTGTTGTGCTTCCCGAGCAAAGGTAGAGGACAGAACTACTTAAACAGATGAAGCATATTATTGAACAAATGCTTGGTTGAATTTATTTCTCCCGAAAGCTTAAACAACAATACCTAAAAATGTTAATATTCGACTCGTCGCATTAACTAATATTAGGAGAGTCCATTGCAGTAGCTTCGCATTATATCGCACATATCACGCTAAGCTATAGTGTTTAATCGGGCAAACCGATAGACCTAAATACGTACATACATATATAACACATACATATGAACATGTGCCAGTCATGTGCAAGGTAGAGATTAAAGGCAGACACAAATTTTTATAAAAACTTTCCAGTTAAATGCGTTTAATTAGGATAAAAAAATTTTGTTGACAATTTGAGATTATGTAAATGCATACATACATATGTACGTATATACAAACATATGTATACAAACGAATATTAGAGTATCTAAATCAATCAAATCGAAGGTAATGAGTAACAGCATAGAATCTTTGAAAAATGAAAATATGCAAATATTTTCAAAATGGGTCAGTAATCAAAGGTTGTATGTTTATACTCAGAAACTGAATTTTTACACAAACCAATTAAAGTAAATGTATATTAGCGAAAATTGTGGTCTTTGAAATATTTATTTTGAGTATAGTATTTATAACACACAGCAATTTTTATATGTATACATGTTTATTTATTCTATTTTAAATGTTTACAAAATTAGTTTCTCTTTAAACCAACGAGCAGCTTTATCAAAGGGTCAGATTGTGGCGGCACTTGGTTTAAAAGAGGTCAGTGAAATGTCGTTCCTTTTCCGTTCCTTTATATAGAGAATAAGTTTTTAAAATAGGGATATTTATAGCAAATATTTGTATTAAGTTTAACGGAAATAAAGAACAGCCAGGTTAGTCAAAAAACAACAATATTGATCGTTTTATTCAACCTCTTTATATTGATATACAAATTAATTCTTAATTAGGCGCATAAAGAAAATAACACAATTATTCGCATGGGGTCTCGAGTGCCAACAAAAAATTGTTGGAAAACGGGTGTAAGAATTACACAAAACGAATTGTGTATTATTATAGTAAACTCTTTATTATCTTTAGCTCTACCCTGGATTTGTATTGTGCTTTTATAGAATGTTTGTGGTATTCATCGTCTAACAGACAAAGCATATAATGAATCCGATCTCGCCGTATACTTGTTAAGTATTACTTATGCAATATTAAAAGCACAATTTTGAGTTACATACATTGGTCGTCCAGTATAACGAATGTCTATATAACGAACGCTCCATATAACGAATGCGTTTTTGAAATCTATTGATTACTCTAAATAACGAACGGTTGAAAAAAGGAGTATTCTACATAACGAACGGTTGTTTTCTTTGCGTGCTTGAATGAGATGATTTTGCATAATTATTGCGTGGGTGGAATAACGACTAGTTCAAAAGAAAAACTTTACATGATTTGGCATGATTTTTTATTTACTTTTGCGTACGTGCAATTACCATCGTTTCAAAAGAATATCTTCTTACAAGTGATCGCGTTTATTGAACTGGAAAAACGCCTTCGTCGCGTAATTGTCATTAGGTGAAACATTTTAAATTATTGAGCACTTTATAAACAAAAAATCATTAAGGGAGATTGGAATGAAATTTGGAATTCCGAAGTCAAGTGTATGCATCCTTATAAAGTCTCGCGAGAAAATCCCGAAGTGTTTGAAAACTGCTAACGGCGCACAGTGGGGCAAAAAAGGTTGCTGTGGACAAATGAATTTTGAGTGCCCAAATATGAACCGATTTCAAGTTTTTTTTTTTAATAATAGATGGTTAAATTTCGCGTCGATCTATCCGTGGCGATTTTTTAAAAAAGTTCTGGTATTTTATTTATTTATGTTGAAAAATGAAAGAAAAACAATTCACGTTTGAATGCTTCCACTTTTTGGGCAAATGCTTGAAATTAATTTCAAATGTCTGCTATTATTTAAATAAATGTTCATAAATATTTTTCCATAAGATACATTTAATTAAAAAAATGTATTTAAGCCGTTTTTTCGCTTTTTTCTAATCGAAAAACTCGAGAACAGCTGTACAGATATTATTGAAATTTTGGACATCGACTCTAGACCCTCAAAGGATGATAATAGAAGAAAAATAATTTCGATATATCAAAGGGGCGTGGCACCTCCCATACAAACTGAAGTTTTCACACAACATATCTCTGGAAGTATTCATCGTAGAGTGCTGCAATTTAGTACAGAGATATATAATATCAACGCCAAACTCATGGAAAAAATTGGAGTTATTGAAAAAGAGGACGTGGCACCTCCCATACAAAATGAATTTCTCACACCACATACACATTCTAATCTATCTCAAATCAGTGCTGTGATTGATGATTGAAATTGACGGTATTGAATATGAAGATAATAATAATGACCCCAAAACTGTAAAAGGTAAAGCCTACTTATGCAAAGGTTTAATAAATCCATCAAACGCTCTGAACAAAATGATATTGAACTCTCCAGAATATTTGTTTTAAGAAGTTTGCAGGAAAAAGCTGTTAATTTCAGCGTTATACGAGCGAAGAAGCGATCACTAATCGCTGTTTTTTTTGTTTCTAATAAGAATTAAGCATCTACATATGTATTCATACATTTTGTTTTACAAATTGCTTTATATTTTTGTAGAGCAGGCATTCTATGATGCACAACTCAAAATTTGGCATTTTTGAAATTATGCGCTAAAAATTTACACAGAGCTTTTATTTACCTTTCAGCAAAAGATGGAGCAACTTTTTGTTATAATTTGTTAAAAAAAACCTAAGGTAAAGTCGCCCTTGCCCATATGATGTGAGCAGCTTTCCCAAAGTGGGTGCCGCGGCACCCTGGGGAACCCCTGTGCTACGAAATAGTTCTTCGCATTTTCTGACGAACGTATTATTTTGAGTTGTGACTCTTTTGAAGACGGTGTACGATCTGTAATGTAGAGTCGGATTTTATTAAATTCTCATAATAAAATTTTGGTTCGATATAGCGTATGACCCCAGACATGATATCATTCGTTATACTGGACGGCCAGTTTATTTATGTATATACCTTTTATGAAAATAAAGTAAACAAAAATACTTATTTTTTCTCAGAAATTGTTGTGGCCGACCTTATATCCGAGTGGAGGGATATGATTGATGGTACCCGGGTTCGATTCCTGGTCTAAGCAAAATCCAAGAAGTCTGAAAATAACTAGATCCAGGAAGCTCATGCACTAAAAAATCGAAAATATGCGCATATGAAAAATTTTTTCCTAATATCTTATTACATTAAACGAGCAATTCTTGCATATAAATACATATAGGGTTCTCGGAAACGCCTCTAACGATTTTGATGAAATTTTGTACACAGATAATGTTTTGGATTTTAAGGTTATCTGAATAGGTAAGAATCGTGTAAGGTTGCCACCTATTCGAAATTAGTTAAAACATTAAAACATCATAATATTTATTAATAATATTATTCAAAAATATTTTTAATAGGGTTGCCACCTATTTTGAATCGTATTTATTTAATTTTTTGTTTTGAAATAAGGTAAAATAGTACTATTCATGGGTACCAAGAGAAGGTTTTTAAACAATGCTTGCCCTATATATAAAATGTTATCTCTTAGGATAATAGTGTAAGGTTGCCACTTACTTTCGATGCTACACAATTTATCTAAAACATCGCAATATGAATATCAAATGAAAGGTATTGTTGAGAACTTTGGTCAGAAGATATTTTCCATCAGAAATTTTGTGATCCAAATCAATTTAAAATATATTAAACTACTAGCTTTTACCCGCGGGTTTCACCCCACGTTTTAATGTAAATATGAAATATAATTTAATGGTGTTATATTTTACTTCTGTGCCCATATTGTTATAGCTCTATATTTTTTAAGCGAGTTAAGGTATTGAGGCTGTTTAAAACTATGAAATTATTAAATCTCGTCTGCACGATAGGTATACGAAAGACGTCACTCCCTCTAAGTTTACCTTCAAATGGTTCCAGGGATACGCCGCGTGAACGTGTAACTTTCTGAGAGGTGCCACGGCGTGTTCTAATATTTCCAACTCAAATTTAGTAACTTGGCCTTGATAAAATACCACTTTTCAGTACTGTGGCTAAATGCCTCAAGAGGTATGTATGCATCATGAGAGCTTTAGATTATATGGGCGAAGCCGTCTCTCCTTTTTCCATTTGAATTTTCAATGAAATTTTTTGTCAGTACGGCACTTATAAAATAAATCACCATAACAAATTTAAAATACTTCCAGAGATTATCTATCCTTCCAGAGATATGTATTAAGAAAGTTTTAGTATGTATGTGAGGCGACATGCCTCTTTTTTAAAAACTCACATTTTTTCCATGAGCAATTGATAACTTTTGTATACACAACTCCATACCAAGTTCCAGTATCCTTCCACAAACACTTTCAGGGATATGTGGCAAGAAAAAGTCAATTTATACGGGAATCAGTTCAATCATTTCCACGCTTTGATATATTTAAACATTTTAACACCTGGAAACTCTTAAAAGAGTAGCCTATTTTCCAATGTAGGTCTAAGCTATCTGTGTGCAAAATTTCATGCAAATCCGTGCAGTCGTTTCCGCGTATTAATTTAATTCAACTGCTTTAAAAGGTGGCAGCTCTTAAGAAAAGTAGCCTATTTTACAATCTAAGTCATAAGCTACCTGTGTACAAATTTTCATGCAAATCCGTTCAGTCGGTTCCGCATATTAATATAATTAAACTTTTTTAGCAGGTGGTAACTCTTAAAAAAAGTAGCCTATTTACCAATCTAGAACATAAGCTATCTGTGTGCAAAACTTCATGCAAATCAGTTCAGTCATTTCCGCGTATTAAATTAATTATCTTTTTTAACAGGTGGCAACTCTTGAAAAAAGCAGCCTATTATCCAATCTTAGCCGTAAGCTATCTGTGTACAAAATTTCATGCGAATCCGTTTAGTCGTTTCCGCGTGATGGTTTCTCAAACATCCAAACATACAAACTTTCACATTTATAATATTAGTAGGATAAACAGCTCTCTGATTTTGTTCTCAGAGATCGTAGCAACAGAGTATTGGGATTTTCTTTCGTAAGTAAAACCAGCCTTTCGAGCTTGTGTTTAGTATTGACGACGTTAAAACTACATGAAATTAATAAGATTTGTTTAAACGAACGAAAGCAAAATTCTGTTCAACAAAAAGTTCGAAACTCAACGACTTCGACAAGCTCTCATAGCTCAAAATACAAATTTCACTTTCGATCTTCGATAATAAGGGCCATTACAACAATTTTAAACAAATACGCGTTTCATAATTTAAAATCATTTTGATGTATAAAAATCTATATTTTCCCTAATAACAGCTAATTTTTCGATTACTGTGATTGTAATCATGAATTGCATGATTGCGGTTACTTTAGTTGTAATCCTAAAAATTTAACGATTACGACCACTGTAAGCTTAATCCTAAAGTAATCGCAGTCCTAAAAATTTTAACCTTAATCCTAATTTTCATGATAACAATTACGGTAATTGTAATCTGTTTTTGTTATTTTATGGCCTTATAACAATTATTTCAACAATTTTTATTGAGCTTGAGGTCGACAAGCTTAATAAAAATTGTTGAAGGTAACACTGTGAGACAAATGGTAGGGGTCAGTGATCGGGAAGGGTTCAAACTACCGGGGAAAGTTATATCGGTAAAAAAGAAGTTATACGTGTCCCAGCGTTTGGCTGGGTCACGTCTAGGAATCGAGATATATATATAACTATCATATAGGGGAAATTGTCACCTTTGGTGGTCTTTTTTTGACATAACTCGAGAACCACTAGTCCGATTTTGCTCAAACAAATTTAAAAAAAATTAAAAATTACAATTCCTTTAATCTGTTCATATAATCAACAGATTTAAAAAAATTTAATATTTTAGCAAAAAATATTTTTTTTCTTCATACATTTATTTTTACCGGCAAAACTGTTGATTATATAGATAAACATTATATGAACAGATTAAAGGAATTGTAATTTTTAATTTTTTTAAATTTGTTTGAGCAAAATCGGACTAGTGGTTCTCGAGTTATGTCAAAAAAAGACCACCAAAGGTGACAATTTTCCCTATTGATAGTTATATATATATCTCGATTCCTAGACGTGACCCAGCGAAACGCCGGGACACGTATAACTTGTTTTTGACCGATATAACATTTCCCGTTGGTTTCATCCCATCCCGATTTTGACTGTCGCATAGTGTAATTGTAATCTTAAAATTTTTAGGGCCACAATTATTATAATCGTTATCATAAAAAGTACGATTACGATTACCGTATTCGTAATCGTTACATTTTAAGGATTACAATTAAAGTATTCTCGATCACGCTTGTTATAATCACAATTACAGTAATCGTAATGCAGAAAATTTTCGGGATAACAATTACAGTAATCGTAATCCTTAGTAATCAAAACGTAATCGTAATCATAAAGTGCCCAGCTCTGTTATAGGTTATGTGCTCGAAACCGCGTTATCGTCTGAAAACCCTTGTGTAATCTCGCACGTTGGCTCAATATTCAAATGCATTATCCAACGATCGATAAATTCAAATATTTATAAAAAGGTATTTGGTCATTTTGTGTTAAATAAAAAAAGATAAATGCGAAGGATCGAATGGTATTCCGCCTTTACACCAAAAGTAAAACAATTAGTTTATGAACAGGGGAGTACAGGCACCAAAGGTGTCCATTCGGCAGTTTGTTGCCTCCGAAATTTCTTTTTGCTCACAAGCCTAACTCAATACTTACGTGGTTATTGCACTTAACTGAGAGATGTGCAGCTTTTGAAAGCACAACATTCATGTTGTTTATATCCGAAAATCTAATTTTAAAAACTTTAAATAAATTCTATATTTTTTTGAATAACAAATGAAAATATTATTTATTAAAATATGAAACCTCATTAATTCGCTTTGAAGTAAAGTGTTTTGGGAACCAGGAAACCGTTAAAGGGACTTGCAATCGGCACTGTATAGGCGCCCATATTTGGAAATGCTATTAGGTCTCCACATGATAGATTTGGCAAATAAGCATCGTCGGTAATCTAAATTGCAATAGTTAAAAAATTTTGAATACAATTTAACAATATTATTTTTACAACTGCTGCTCACCTTGTCTAATGCATCGCAGGAGGGGCCCCATATCAACGTTTTGAACTTTTGTAAATTATCATTTTCCTCCTACAAATGCGTATAAAATTAATAAATCTAATACCAAATATGTATTTATAATAAAAAGCTTCACATGTATGTTACCAAGAAGTGTTCGGCCGTTACTTTCTGATGATCATATAAGATGCAATTAAAAGATCCATACACTCCGTCATTTATGTAGTACATTCTCAAATCAGCTTTCTTTTCAGAGCGAACATCTCGCTTAGCATGAATTTTACAAACTAGTGTATATGCTGAGGCTACGAAGAAACGCCCAGGCTCGGAAATTATTTCAACATTTTCGTCTGGGAAATACTTCTCCAAAGATGCGTTGACAATCTCAGCTATCTAAAAGTAATTACACACTTTTGTATTTTCATTGTTTGTATAAATAAATCATGTAAAAAAAAGTGAACTTAAGATCAGGCTCTCACCCCCTAGTATTGTTCTATATGGAAAAAATACACGTTTGTTATTTCGTAATCAAAAAAAAAATATATATAGGTCACTTAATGCGATCATAGTTTTCGCATGTATTTTGTATGGAAAAAAATGTTTTCGGAAAAGCGATATAGAGTTCTTAAAAATCAATATTCTTCGATCGGAAAACTCTGTTTCTCTTTAGAAGACTTCCAATAATAATGCCTAATTTTTTATTTTACCCTTTCTTAATTTTACTGAATTTTAATGGGTCCTCCCATCCGAGTCGGAAAACTATGTCTCCCTTCAGGAGACTTCCAATATTAATACCTAATTACCTATTTATTTTAACATTTCTTAATATTACCGTTTTTTAATGGGTCCTCCCTTTGCATTTTTTTGTGGTATTAGGGGACTTATAAACAATAGCCAGTAATAAAAAATGGTTTAGAAAAACTATTGGGTATTATTATTAAAAGTCTCCTGAAGAGAAACGGCGTTTTCCAATTGAAAAGTAGTAATTTTCAAGAATTATATACCATTTCTACGAAAAATAGTTTTTTCCATATAAAATAAATAACTTTGAGCGCTTTGAGCGACCTCTAAATATTTTTTGATTTCAAAATAATAAAATAGGGGTATAAGTTTTTTCGGTATTGAACAATCCTGGGAGGTGAGAGCGTTAAAATTCCGACTTAACTTTTTTTGAATCACCCTAATGTACATACACACATAGTGTTCGTTACCCTTTATACTTTTTAACCTAAATAACGTAAATACTTAGATTTATTCATGTAGAAATTATCCAGTAACTTGCCAGCAACTTTCCAGTAACTTAACAAGTAACAAGTTAACTAAAAACAAATATTTTTAAGGCAAGCTTTCTAAAATGAACGAAATATAACCATAAATGCTGGTTAACCAAATATATCGACCCCTACGCCACCTATCGGCAAAAATTTTAGTAGGGTTATTCCTTTTCATGTAATTCATATATGTACGATCCAAATATGAACCAAATCGGACTATAAATATGTGATTTTCAAATGTCTCGACTCCTGCGCCACCAATCAGATTAATTCATCTTTCGTATTTCATTGTCATCGGGTAACATACATAAAGAGCAAGTTAAATAAAAGCTTGTAATAATAAAATATCGGAAAAGTACATGAACGCAAAACCAGCGGCAGTTTGCAAGTTTCATAGCCGGCTATTTAATTTGCTGTTTAATCGCACCAAATTCCTAATAAAACAGTATTGCATAAGTATCTTTTTATATATGTATATAAATAGGTTTATTTTAGGAGTGTACTCGTACTGAAAGTAAAGTTTTAGAAAACTTTCAAAGGTGTTGCGTTCTCGTATCCAAAATACTTGCTAAGTAGGAGAGAGCGAAATGTGATTGAAGGCTGCAGTTTACTTACAAAAATTTGCTAGTAAGGAAATCAACATACATACATGTATGTATACACATTAGGGTGTATTTAAGACAAGTCGCCTAACTTCGACAATTTTTATGCGATTACAATAAATGAGTTATCAGTTTATTTAAAAATACATTTAATTTTGGATAGTGCTACATACGTTGAAATTGTGGAAATTATCGATGTTCAAAATTAAAAAAATTAAGAGATATATGTTTTTTTTTTAATTTACCCGATAAAAAATCCCAACAAGCCAAGTCCAACAATATATTATTATATAGCATTTTAAAGGCCTATATATTCTCTTCTCAGATCATATGCGGTCTTTGATATCGAATCTAAAAGTCATTCAAAAACTCATAAATCTACAAAATCGTATTTTCTGACCTAAATCGACAGGCCGCGACCTCTAAGTGACCTTTAAATAATCTATAAAAATAGGCAATAATATTTCTCATAAAAACGAATAAAATTAGGGGGTTGGGTCTTGAAATATAAATTTAATATAAATATAAAATAAAAAAATATTTTCCATGGGCACCCTAATATACATTCATACATACAGGCCCGGCCGAAAGGGGCGGTTTTGGGGGTTCAACCCCACCCCGACCCTATTGGAGGGAATACATATACATAAAAATTTGTCATCATTTGGTTTAATATAATAATGGTAAAAAATATTTTAAAATCTCAAAAATTTTTATTGAGTTTAAGGCCGTTTCTAATGGTTCATATCCCAGTGACCGCGGTGAAGAAGTCTGTTGCGGAGATGTCGTGATAGTAGATGCAAATTCTACCTATGCACATTAGGTCAAATGATTCATTTGGCTGTGCGAAATTCCAATTTCGTAAGGGCAGTTTTACATTATTTTTTGTTGCCATTCTGTAGGGAATACTCCAAAATAACAGAAACTTGACTTAGTTTTTATAAAATAAAAACACCGTTAGAAAGCAATAAATCAAAGTTACACTTTCAAAACGTTATTTTAAATGAAAAACAAAACTATAAGTGACAACTTAAGTACCCATTTAAAAAGGTGACTTTTTAGCATTTGTTTGCTTGTTTTAGCATGTATATACATATGTAGTAGCGAGTCCGTATTAAGCTTTTGTCTTTTTGACAATTATTTTGTACGTAGCCTTGAACTTGAGAATTGATATTTTGCTATCCTCATATTACGGTACATTAAGACTTAATATTCGCCTATTTAAGACTGCATTGCTTGATATTATGGACATTCGCAAGGGTACAAGTGTGCAGAACAACTTGTTCGATAATAAAGTTTAAGCAAAAAGTAAAAGGTCGGCTTTTCATTTTTTCTACAATCCGCTTATTCAAATACATAACATGTACATACAACTTGTATGATAAAAGTACCTTACCCATTTCGTAATTTAAATCAAATATTTACCAGTTAATTATATTATTTAATTGTACAAGTTTCCCTGCTGTAGCGAAAAATTTAGTCAAATCCTTTTCAAGGACTTTGCCATCCTTTGCTACCAAAATGCGTTTACCATAATTCATACTGCACGACGAAGTCAGCACACAGTGGTTCAAAATTTGAATTTAATGTTCATAATTCACCGGAGCCTTTATTTCTTAGCCAATTTTTTACTAAAAACAAAAAGAATATTTATTTTGGTGAACATTTTTTATAACATTTCAAACCTTTTTTTTTTTTTTGTAATTTTTTTGTTTTGGGAGAACCATACAATTGTTTTCAACTAGTTTTTAGTATGTAACATTTATTAACTGGAACAGGAGAATAAATTTCCTTCAAAATTGGTAATTTTTCTGCATTTTATACAAAAAAAATTTAATATAATCAAATACAAATTCAGAAATCAGGCTGGCAAATATTTTAAGCTTTCATAAAAAATAAAATAAAAATTTATCAAATTAAGTGAAAAATTAAAGCTCAAGTGAATTACGAATACTAAATACCAGTTTTGAACTACTGTGCAGCAGAGAGTTTACCTTCTTTTAGTGTTACCTTCTTTTGACTCTTGTCAAAATGTTATGTATTTTTTATTTGTATTTTAAATACTTGTATTTCAAATACTTAATATCTCTGGCTATCCGAAGCAATATATTACTTAAATATATTCATTTTTATACATTAGTTTCAGCTAACCATGGAAGAGGGGATATATTAAAAAAATATGGCTTCGTTTGTTAGTATTGTGTACGCTAAATACTGTAACGAGTGTCCACTTGGGATTAGGACTCCATACAATGACATCCAATTTCTGCGCCTTTTAAGATTTTTCCATATATTATATTGGAAAAGCTTTTTTCATACATACATATTCCAACTGAACGTTTGTATGCATTTATAAGGAACTTTATGAAAAACATTTAAAAACAAAAGTTGTGAACGACTGTGTTGAACGGGGCATTCCTTCGATTCAAAAATATAACCAAACGATTTCCAAGGATGAAGAGCAAAATCATTATATTCTTCATTTTCAGGAACATCAAAAGTGTCACTCATTAAGTAGAAATTAATTTTTGTACATTCATATCAACACACTCGTATGTATGCAAAATTAAAATATCTAAATGAAGTCTGTTTTAATACAAAAAAAATATTGTTTTGCGAATAATAGCCTTGTTGCGTCATGATTTGTTACACTCAGAAAAGATTCAGCCAAATATATTTCTCTCAATACATGATTTTGTAACTAGCACCAATAACCAAATCATGTGTTGAGAAAAATATATTTAGTTGACGTAACTAAACTATTTTGTCTGTGTAGGTTTAAATTTCCTGGATTACATAACAATGCATGTGCATGTGGATACTTACAGTTGCAAATTTATCATCATCAGCTCCCGGAAATCCACCACCAATATCTAATATTTTCATATTGTATCCAATCATTTCACCAAATTTAAATAAATTCTTAGCAATAGAAATGGCGCGATTATATGCCGGAAAATCGTTGCAGCCGGAACCTACGTGGAAACTTATTCCTGTTACCTGCAAAAGATAGGCCATTTGTTTTAAAATTAAATATGTTTTCGTTATTACATACACACATTTGTATTTTAGTGGATGACTTACACTAAGACTTAAACTTTTAGCCAAGAGCATTAAAGACGCAGCATCAGCCTCAGCATTACATCCGAATTTATCTCCAAGCGGGCATTGGGCATCTTTAGCTTCACACAGAAATCGTATGACCAAACTTGAATTAAGAAAAAATACGGTTAGTACAATGGCAAGTGTTTGGAGGCGAAATTTGTTGGCGATTTTAGTTCGGATTATGGGTAAAATCGTTTTCAAATTTTACATACTGCTTATGCACCGAGAAAAGAGTTTAGTTACGTAAATTAGATATGTTTCTTTTAGGGCCAAACTCACAGTGCGTAGTAAACTCAGAATCGGCAGATAACTACAGATTTTCAGGGCACTGTGAATTTGGCCCTTAGTATTTAAAAAAAAATGATTGAAAACACAAGTTACCAAACTCCACGTCAAACAGTGCGTACGTGTAAATTAATTTTCCCTGAAGACGATTAAGGCCAGTATGCAGCTCTCAAGAAAAGCAAAAACTCCATATAAAATGACGCACAAGAAATGGCTAAGAAATTTTTTTGAGTCAAATTTCCTTACGGCTGTTGGCAGTTCTTAAGAAATTTGTTACGTATTCTAATACATACGGTTTTCTAAAGTTCTTTGAGAAAAAAGGGCACAAGGCAACCCATATTTAGAACATAAATATATGCCCGTTCCATTATTTCTTGAGGAAAGAGTGAAGCAACAGGCTGTGAAGTATCAGATGTCAAAATTCCTTGGACACACACTCGAAATAATGGCAATTTTTTTGTTGACCGTTTTCTTGAGAGCTGCGTACTGGCCATTACCGAAGCGTACTCGAAATGTATCGGAAAGAAAGCACTAAAAACCCAGCGTTTCCGTTTTATAATTTTCGAGCGGAGTAAAAGGAAAAGTGGAGTGTTTTTCGGTTTTTCATAATGTCGAAGTAAAAACGTGGACCAAAGTATGTAAGTAAGACTCATTTGTGTTATAAACATACACTTTCCTGCGTACATATATTTTTAGAAATTAACCAAAACTTTGTTGTTGTTAAACTCCTTAATTTTGTGGGTAGTAGTAAGCAGTGCGTGCTCCCACTCCGCAAGCCCTGGTCAAAACAACATCAAAAAAAATTTAGAAAAAAGGCTCTTTCTTAACAGCGGTCGCCCCTCGGCAGGCAATGGCAAACCTCCGAGTGTATTTCTGCCATGAAAAACAGCTTCTCATAAAAATACAATCGTCGTGCGGAGTCGGTGTAAAATTGTAGGTCCCTCCCCTTTGTGTGAAAACATCAAGGCGCACGCCACAAATCGGAGGAGAAGCTCGGCCAAACACTAAAATATGTGTAAACGCCGGATGTCCGGTAGACTTCTGCCCTTTATAAATTTAACAATATTGTTTTATTCAGCCTATCATGAATTTTACGTACGTATGCTCAAAATTGAAATTGAAATACCGTTCACCCGAAATTCAGCCTCATAGCCTAATAACTTCGAAATTACTTAAGTTTTTCTGATTTACTTAGTCTATTTATGGGTATTTATAACTAACGCTGTTGGTTTTAAAGTAAAAATTTAATTCTAAATTAATTAATTTATGGCTTTTCATGCATATTGCTAAAAATCATAAAATATATACATATGTAGTTCTCGGAATCTCATGCACTAAAAAATCGAGAATATTTATTTATTTATTTATTATTAATCTAGAAAATAAATCATTTCACACAGACTATTTGGCAAAAAATAAAATATAAATTAATAACTAATTTAGCATACTACTTAAAAATTATTTGAAATTAGATTTGGTAGCAGAAAAATCGATAGCAGAAGAGTTTGAGGGCGTTAAGTTGAGTTAATCTCGTTTAGAGCTCTGCGAATAGGAGCGTTATTCGTATAATATGCGCATATCAGGGTTGGGCTCGCTGCACTAAATTTTTAATGCACTAAGCATTTCATTACCGCTATTCCTGCAGTGGTAGTGAAATTTGAACTGCATTAGCACTAAGGGCATAGTGGCAGTGAAAAGAATTTGTCACTACCACTAACCATACATTTTCACTAACACTGAGCACCTAGAAATTGAATGCACCACCACTAGCCATATGGTGGTAGTGAAATTTGAAATGCACTACCACTAACCATATAGTGGTAGTGAAATTTGAAATCACGACCACGAACCATATAGTGGTAGTGAAATTTTAAATGCACTACCACTAAAGCCCTAGTGAAAATTTCGATTTAGTGCAGTGTGCCCAACCCTGGCGCATATAATGTGCACTCAAAGTTCAAAAATATGCGCTATAAAAAGAAAAATATGAAATTAAAAATATTTTTTAATATTTTATTGTCGGCACAAAAATAGTTTGATGAATCGCACTTATGGCTATTTTTATGAACGTAATACCCAAAATTGTGCTTAGTGGAAATTCATCATTAACTTTATTAAGGAAATGCTTAAATTTTTTAATTTGTATGGTTTTTGATCACAAATGACGAAAAAATGTAGGTATAATACAGTGGAGCTTACATATATACATATGTAGATTCCTTTATAATACGGACGCTTTTTAGTTTCTTTTTTGTTTTCGCTAACTCTATATTTACCCTCTTTAGAAAAAATTTGCTGCAAAACTGCATACGCACTCAAATTTTTTCCAAAAGGAGTAATTCAGGAGTGAAAAACTTTTATGAAAATTTCCATAAAGTTTGGAATTTAAATTTTTGGAGTTTTTGTATTAACCATAATTTTTTATATGAAGAGTTATTTCCAAGAGGCTTCCCTGAGGAGCCCTTTAATCAGATTAGAAAGAGAGGCCGGTCATTGAATTTTTTGGTCTTTGCTCTCTCAAGTTAGAAAAAAGGCTTGACACTGCGCCTCATTATATTCTTGTACCAGCCTACAATTAAAATTTCTTCAAAATTTTATAGATTTTCTGACGTAAACCGTAGATCAATATGCATCAATTTAAAAGCGGCATCTCTACTGTGAAGTATCAGATGTAAAAATTACAAGAATACTACTCTTCACGCACACGAATTAATGGGATTTTTTTCTTTAGCTTCTGCTCAGGGAGCGAAGAACAAAAAGAAAATGCAAAACTAGAATGGACATCCACCTTGCCGTCGGTAATGCAGTCACCGTATTAATTAAAATAAGTTCTTATTCAATTTTAATTGGATTCCTATCTGAATTAGTATCGTGATTGCATTACCGATGAAAAGGTATATGTCTATGCTAGTTTTGTACTTTCTCTGTATTCTACGCTCTCTGAGTTGGCATCAGAGCTGGGTAGATGCAATTACATTACAATTACAGTTACATTCCTCAGTAATTGTAATAAGGAATCAATTCCTTCAGTTCACAGCAAAGGAATTGATTACTTTCTCCACTCCTTGAAGTAATTTCAAATGGAATTGCTTTTTTTTAAATTCCATTACAAGGAATTTCATATTGTAATTGGAATAAATTACGTGCTAGTGATGTTTTTTTCAATTCCTTTGCTAACTGCCTTGAATAAATAATTTATACCTAAGTAGCATTACTAATTGGACTTTAGGAAAGCTGAATAACTTAACTGTAACTGTTCAGTTTATAGGGTAACCGTAAAATTTTCCAGATCCTATCGCGAACGCGCTTCGCCGCAGATGAGACCCATGAGCCAAAAATACAAGATCACCTAATCAAAGAAGCAAGAAAAAAGTATATATCTGAGCGTTTTTTGACATCTGCCTAAGAATGAAAACAAACAAAGAAAACGAAAAAGGTGCAGTGATTGAGTGCGATTAAATTGGTATTTATTATAAAATATACACAGTGAAACTTGATGACAATTAGCAAAAAAAGTTCATAAAATATGGTTTTCATGATTGAAAGTATTTTACAGTCGCATATCATTACCACGGGTCGATTTTTCAATGCCAACGTTCTGGCCACAAACGTGCACCCACTTTCCGCATAGTTACGCCTTTTGGCAAACCAAAAATACGCACAAACTTGTTCCGATCACACAGCATTTCATTTTATATCATAAATATGAAATAAACCAAAATTTATAATTAAAATCGCTGCAGAAAACACATTCAATCGCTAGAAAATCACTACGAAGGGGTAGAAGACGGTGTAAACAAAACCGAAAAACGTCAAAAACGCTACGAAAACTTTTTTCTGAAAATCGATTACAAATACAACGATGGCTGATTAAGTGATCTGTAGTCGGTGGTTCATGGATGAAACCCGTAAGTTTCGAAGCAGGTATAACCCGCCTGAATACTTTCATGCTCGCCTTTCGGTAAAGAACAGTCCGGACTGTTGCTGCCTTGGGCACTGCTGTTCTCTTGGATTAATCCCTGCGTATCTATAAAAATGCGCTGACTTAATTCTGTACATTATGGCACCCTAAATGCTACCCAAAATGGCGTGCCTTCTGGGGCCTGGTATTCTGCGTTACAAATGAGGATAGAGTCCGCTTGAATTACGAGCCCTGTCGGACGGTCGTTAAAATTACACAAAAACGCCGAGACACGTAAAATTAATTTTGGGTAGTAGGTTACGAATCTGTATACGAATTTTATACCCGAGCGCAGGATGAGAAGAGAAATTGATTAAGCGGTGACTATCTGTCCGTCCGTCCGGCTGTGCACACGATAACTCGAGTAAAAATTGAGATATCTTAACGAAACTTGGTACGTGCACTTCTTTCGGGCGTAGGACGGATGGAATTGAAAATGGGAAAAATCGGACAATAACCTCGCCTACCTCCCATATAACGGTAATTTTCAGAAATACGAAAACTGCCATATTTTAGTAACTACTGAAGATTATTCACTCAAAATTGATATTTGCAATATTATTTAGACTAGAAATAAGAATATTACAAATTTTTGTAAAATGGGCGTAGCTACGCCGACTTACATGGTTACATGTGTATATCTTGGTAAGCGCTGCACCAATTTCTTTCAAACTGGGCACAATTGTTAGCCTTGCTACAGCATACCAAATGGCCGAAAATTAAAAAAAACGGACAATAACCACGCCCACATCTCATATAATTTAGAGAAATACGAAATCTTCGATAAATCATTAAATATTAAAGCTAATTTATTCAAAATTGATGTTTGCAACTATTCTTTACCAAGAAATACGTTTATGATAAAATTTTGGAAAATGGGCATGGCACCGCCCAATTATGATCACATATATGCATCTCGATAACCGTTCTTCCAATTTGTACCAAACTCAGTATGGTTAATGTGCTTGCCACGTAAAAGCGAAACGTTGAAAATTATTGAAATCAGACTTTAATTACGGCCGCTTTTCATATAACGGTAAATTTAGGAAATGCTTGAAACTTCCATATTTCGAAATTTAAGGACGCAAATTTACTCAAAATTAATACACCCCGGCTTACCATATAGCGGTACTTGCGCTTGTTATATATACATACTCTTTATACATAGATATAGATAGAAGATGGCCAATGTGTGCTTTCGAATTTAATATTTGACCACAATAAAAATTCCACATTTTACATTCGTGAGTGAACTTTCAGTTTCTCGATTACTTTTACGCGGCCCTTGAATAATTAAAAATTAAAAGTACTATTTCAATTTCAGGTAACGGAATTGACAAAAAAATCAATTACATTTTCAATACCTTTCAAAGGAATGGGGAAAAAAATACATTACTAGCACGTAATTTATTCCAATTACAATATGAAATTCCTTGTAATGTGATGGATAAAAAAAAACAATTGCAACTGAAATTACTTCAAGGAATTGAGAAAGTAATCGATTCCTTTGCTGTGGACTGAAAGAACTGATTCATAATTACAATTACTCGTAATTTTTAATTGGGAGTAATTTAATTCCTAAAGGAATCATTACGACCCAGCTCTGGTTGTCATCGAATATTCCCTTGATCCGAGTTAAGTTAATTCCCGAGATAATTTCGAATTAGCGAGTTGATCCCGATCAACACTGACGTCTGTCTATGCTTTAAGACAGGGATGCCTCTTAAAGAAATCACAGAGCCAGCAAGAAGTAAAGCAGTTCTCAGGGTAAAGGGTATGTAAAAAATATATTAAAAGCATCATATTTATTTGTAAGGACAGTTGAAGTAAAAGAAATTTTATTACGCTCTTCTTCCCCATTCATGCTGGCTCTTGATATTACCCCTCATCTAGCACCTAAATGTGCCAAGCCGGCTCCTAAGTGCAAAAGGCTCCTGAGAGCCACTTTGTCTATCTCTGCTTTAAGATAACCAATTGAAGACTATCGGCCAGTTGAGATAAAGCAGCTCGGGGCCGTCGATTGTACCCATACCTATCACCGCCATTAGCGGTGGGCGTATTATCGTCCGTGATGGCTGAACGCTAATAGAAATTTAAAGTTATTTAACTTTTCTATCAAATATCTTACCTGGAGAGCATGCAAAGACAATTTTTTTATATGATGACTTACTTTGACTCGGGATAGTGCTTAGCAATCTTATAAATTTCGTACTCCGTATCTACCGTGCTTGTCATAATCCTTTTCTCTTTAGCATATCGAAGATGACTCGCTGGCTTGCAGGGGTTTGCAAAAATTATGCTTTCGGGACTGGCACCCATTTCTAGTGCCTTTTTGAAATAATACCATAATCATTTGTCCGCTTGATTTGTTGAGATTGTGCATATATTTACATACCAGCTTAATTTCGTTTTTGGAGGCGCAATCGAATCCAGTTCCCAAATTAGCTAACTCCTTAACAATTCTTCCATCATCATTACATTTAACGGCTGTAAAAAAAAAGTGTAAGATAATTTGTACATGCTCATATATATTTATATGTACATAGACCCGATTCCAGTTTTTGTGGAAGGTGTCGCTATTTTTCCATACAAAAAAGATTTCGAATACACTTATACAAATTATCGGTATATCGCATGGTGAAATTATACCAGGCGTAGTAATAAGATTCAGAATAAAGATTTGATACTATCTTATTTGAAAATTTGCCTTGAAAATTTCAATAAGATAGCCATATGTCAAGAAATACAGAAAATAAAGTGAGAAAGCTGTTTTATTACTTCACCTGTTTATAATTTCACCACTAAAATTTAATAGGCTACAAAACTGCATAATCAGAATGTTTATGAAGAATCGAATTAAAAAGTTCAACATTTTGATGAAACATTGTCGAATTTTCCTAATTTTTGTACAAAGTTTGAAATGCTGACTTATACGAAGTATAAAAATGGTATGCTATTATCCATTCATAACCCTCCACCACATTAGTTTATATTAGTGTGTGTTATTAAATAAAATAAATAATATTTTTTGGAATCTATGCATGTATAACGTTTAAAATGTTCTGATTTCAAATACAGTTTTATGCCATGTTTTAATATTTATGTGCATTAAGCTTTAAAATAATAGTAATAGATTATCGCTTACACAGATGAGAAAATCTCACGAGTGGTTTCTTTTAGTATTACTCCCTTCTCTCAGCAGAAATAAAATCGCGAAAGCTTTCTTCATGCATTTATTTCAAACAATGGAGTTCCAGAAACAGGTACAATAAGACGTATATCAAATACTTGAAGAATTTTATTCTTATTATATTTTTCGTTTTTCTTGAGAGCTGGAAACAGCCCTTTAGCTCTAACACGTTTATATACGTGAAAAAGTACCGAAATCACTCTTTTTTTTATTATCACTCGAAAAAATCACATTTTTTTTTTTAATAACTTTGTAAAGTTTTCAACAGTGTTGCCGTTTTAGCCCTTTGGTGGCTAGATTTAGCTACCACATACTTTTTTTGGCCACATAAATTTAAAATTGCCCCTAGCCCTATTTTTAGCCCTTTGGAGAATCTACTTATACTTGGCACGAAAAAGTTGTATAAGCTTAATTTGATCTAATTTTTTCATCTATGTAAGAGACGAATTTGTAAACTAAGAAAGACTGATATATATATATATGTATCTATGTGTTGTATGCAGTGTTGCCAGGTCTTGGGCATGAGAAAACGTCACTCTTGGTCGGAAAAAACGTCATTTCCTGCCCAAAAACGTCTTTTTCAAATGTATGCACACAAGATAGTTCTTATTAAACTTTTATTGTATACAAAGGTACATACATAAGTATATATGTAAGGTGTATTAAAATGTCATTTCGACAGAGCACATTTAAAATTCATTGTAAACTGGTTTGAGATTGTTAATATAAATATCGTTTTATATATCGATGGCTGAGTGGAAGATCGACCTATCTCGGCTGTCAGTTCGAAAACGCTCTATCTCAAAAAACTTTTCAAGAACGCCCTATTTCAGAATTTTATTGAAAAACACCTTATCTCAAAATTCGGTTCAAAAACGCCATATCTCACTTCAAAATGTATTGAAAATATGCTGATATAGGGCGATTTTGAATCGGCAGCTGAGATAGGGCGTTTTTAAAACGAAATCTGAAACAGGGCGTTCTAGAAAAGTTTTTTGAGATAGAATGTTTTCGAACTGGCTGCCGAGATAGGTCGATCTTCCACTCAGCCATCGATATACACTTTTTATAAGCTGATTAAGTCATCAATATTTTGATCGATTGTGGCTGTCTTTCTTTTGTTTATTTAGTGTTTATTATTTTTCCATAAAAGCCAAGCTGATTATATAACAAACAAAATATAAATCCACATTTCAAACTTTGTGCAAAAATTATAAAAATTCTGCAAAGTTTCAGCTAAATATTCAAGTTTTTATTCGGATTTTTAAGAATTTTTTTGAGTATGCAGTTTGATAGCTTTTTTTTTTTAAGTTGCTAAAGAATCGCGTTGATTTTTAATATTTTTTTCTTTTGTAGACATTTGGTTAGGTGGTCGATTGTCGAAATGCTAAATTTCGTTCTGCTAAGAAGGAGCATAGCAATATTTCAGGCTTTTTTGCGTTCAATACATTTTCAATGAAGTCTTAAAAAAGTCGCCTACTTTTTTCTGACTTTTTATGCTGCTATAGCTTTTTTGGTGTTTTTGCGAGCGTGCATGTTTCAATAGATCAGCTCTTCCTGATTTGGCTTTTAATGTGCACTTGCAAACATTGCAATAAGCCTCGTAACCTCAAGTGTTTACAAAACCAGCCTTTGAACGCGGGATCCTTAGTCCAATAGTAAAAAAAAAAATGACCGTACGCTTGGTATGCATCGTATTTAAGTCATTTGTGTCCAAAGGACAAATATCTTTTGAAGAAGCTGCTGCAAAAAACAAAGCTTGTTAAGATTTATTTAGAAAATAATTCAAATCAGTTCTACTGACAAGATTTAGTAACCGAGAAAAATTACTGGGAAGTTAAAAAACGTCATTTCTTGCACAAAAAACGTCCGAACGTCAACAAGATACAAAAAACGTCCAAATGACGTTAAAAACGTCAACCTGGCAAAGCTGGTTGTATGTTCCTTACGATTTTATACATACATATTGTAAACGTGTTAGGGTCTTATTATGCATACTTCGCATAACTTCGCACAACCATTTGTACCAGTGCACTAAGGGTCTGATTATGCATACTTCGCATAACTTCGCACAACCATTTGTACCAGTCCAATAAAAATGTAACTTAAGATAATGTGAAGCAAAATAAAACTCAACAGATCGCTAAGTTCTTAAAAGTTCTGCTAATTTCTGGGTAATGGAATACTTACAAAATACATACGAAATTACAGTTTGAAGTTTATGCGAATTTGTGCGAAGTATGCATAATCAGACCATTAAGGCTGTTAACTTATCTATTAACGATTTAACTACAGTTTTAAATAGATAAGTTTACTGCCCTTAATATGCTTAATTTGTTAAATGGCCCATCAATTCGATTGACCGAGTATGTTCTTGGGTGTGATTGTACCAGCTGCTGGTGCGACTTCAAAAACTATTTGCAAATTTTATGATTGTACCAGCATGCTGGTGTCGTGAGTGGTGAAATTAGCTTAATTTTCTAAGTAAAAAGTATTTTGACGGAATTTTCTTGCCGTGTTTGTGGAAGATTAATTTCGCGATATTGTAGTTGTGAATTAAAAAAAAAAAACACCAATGTTTAACAAAATGGTAGAAAAATTATGAAATTTCGGCTCTAATCATTTCTATAATCATTTCTCTAATCTTTCCTCGACCTCATTTGTAACAAAATAAATATTAGTGGAATTCGCGCTTCTGTGTATTCGTTGTATCTTGTGTAATTGTAACTGAATGAGCGTCTAATTTGTTGTTGCTAGCGGTACAATAAATACACTTGAAACAACAATCACACGCTCGTTCAGTTACACTTACGCAAGATACAACGAATACACAAGCGCGAATTCCACTATTGTACCAGCATGCTGGAAAGTTATATGTTTCGGGCCTGATGGTACAATCACTTGATGGAACCAGCAACCTGGTGCCGTATATTTCACCTTTTATACAAAAAGGTTTTTGGTTGGATAAAATTTGCTTTTTTCCAGAGTTCACTGTTTTTTTATACCATTACTTATTGAAAATGTTTGCGTGTATACTTAAAGATGTATATATAAGTAAAAAAAATTAGCTACCATTTTTAGCCACAACGACATTTTTTAGCTCTTTTTTAGCCCTTTTTTTAAAGGAATTTGGCTACCACTAAAAATTATTCGCGGCAACACTGGTTTTCAAATATAATGTTCATATTAGATGCAATGGACATTGGCATCAAATAAACCGAGTTTGAACGCGGCCCTGCCGAATGGCAGCGCACACTACAGCATGGCGACTGCTTAAAAAAAGCAAAGAAAGTTCAAATCTACTATTTTCTAAAATATTTGCTGAAAAATTATGATCACTTTATTACTAATAGTTTGTAAACCTGGAATACATTATTAATTATTGCATAATCACCATAGTAGGGCTTAACACGCGGCATGAACCTTAACCAAGTCGTATATTTTTTGGCCAAAACAGAAAGGTCGCAAATATTTACTGGTTCATCCATCTCTTCAATGTTGACCTCCTTAACGAATTCTTTGAGGTCTAGCTTTTCTTGGTACAAATTTATTTCCTCGAACTTATACATAATTGCTACGTTAAATCTTTTCTTTGTAAAATCCGAATGGGAACTAATTAAGAATCGCTAATTGAGAATCATGAGTTCTTATCAGTTAAATCTCCCCATTTACATATGTACATATTTGAATCTATGTACATACATATGTACAGTCTACGAATCATGAAGAACAGCGTTAATCTGTTCAGCTGGAAAGCCTCAACTAATGGTATATACATATTTATTATCATCACAAATGTACTTGGCTCAAACAGGAAGAGGACAAAAACATAAACAGACGGCAGCGTTAAAAATGTAATACGGGTCAACTCGTTAATTCGGAATTATCTCGGAAATTAATAGCAGTTGATCCGGACCAGTGGCGGATACCCGGGGGCATTTTGGGGGTTAAAACCCCCCTCAAGTCAAAGAATAATATTTCACTAATATGGGTCTAGAAAAAAGGCTATTTAGAAGAAAGTATGCATAATAAAGTTTCAAAACACGAATTTTTAAAATCATATATTCAATTTTTCGCTTTATTTATAAAACATTTTGATGATTTTAAACACATAAAATTTTTCTTTTTACTTATAAATCAATGAAACCAAGAATTTTCAAATCTTTTGTGGTTTTTTGAAAAAATCTTCTAGAACTTCTACAACTGAAAAACTTATATCTTTGTGAATATTCATAGATGCTAGACCGTTGAGCCTTTCTTGACATGTTGTATTTCTGAAGTAGGTTTTAATTCTTTTCAGACATGAAAAGCTTCGTTCAGGTGTGGCTATTGAAACGAGCAAGAGTGCCAATATACGTAAGATCTTAAAAACATTCCCAAAAGACGTTCTATTAGCTACTTGTAATGCTTCGAGAGCATTTCGAAAATGTTCGTGTGAAACTCGTTTTTTCCACATTTCCACAACAAAACACTAAAATTACTTAAAACTGATTTATGGTTTAGGAACCGGCTTTTAAAATGAGCAATATATGTATCAAGGAAGAGAATGTAAAAAGCAATGCGATAGTATGCCTCGGCGTCTCCGGTTTTCACATTAAAGCGATTCTTTTGGCGAATGCTGTATCGCGGTACTTTGATTTCTGTACCTAGGTTGGTGCATACTTCTTCTACGTGTTCGAAAAGCAAATGAAAGTTTTTTTCTGCATCTTGTCGCACTTCTTCAAATTCCTTTAAAGCGTCGTCGGCTAAGCTCATTGCTTCTGCAAGATCTTCATCAGGTACTTGCAATTGCCGGCTAGCAAAGCAACAACAATTTATAAAAAGCAAATGCTTGGCTGTTGTCGCTGTGCTAACAGTTTTTCAAACCCTGATAATTTCTATGGATATTTGCACGATACAAATAATTTTTACGGTATTTTCCCCGGGACAAATAAAATATTTTTGACAATTGGAAGAAATACAACTTCGAAAGTGTTTTTAAAACGATTTTTCATTTTGCTACGTTAGAGCCGTTGCCGAGAAACTTATGGATACATATACATATACACAAAAATTGCTCGTTTAAGGTAATTAGAATAAGGGGCAAAATTTCCCGCAAAACCCCTCCCCCCATCAGAAAATTCTGGATCCGCCGCTGATCCGGACTAAGTCCTAAATCTAATTTTCAAAATTAATGCAAATTAAATGACAACACTAATGAAAACGGCCAGCTGTTGTCTATTGTGAATGAAAAATAAACGTAAATGAAGCGAGTTAGTTTGGCATATAGACTTAAATGTTTATTAAGAATTTCTGCTAGAACTTTAATTTCATAAAAAAATTATAATGAAAGGAACTAAGAAATTAAATAAAAATGTATTGCCTATAGAATTCGAGCCCACGAGTCTCGCGACTGGTTTCATCTGACAATACTGACAAATGCTCCGTTGATTCGGATTGACGTTGTCGTCTGTTTATGCCGTAAGGCCTTTCGCTCAATGTATTGTTAAACACTCAATGGCGTTTATTAATCAATATATTATTATATTAGGTTATCAGCGAAGCAAGAATAAAAAGATTATTCTCTAAGCACTGCTCTAAAAATAATAATAAGAAAACAAATCAAATAAAAAAACAGTTTAATATATACATATACCACATTTTATAAATATGCTAAAAATTAGAGAAAATAATTTCCTAATTTATGCAAGTCATTATAAACAATTTGTGAGAAACTTAAAGTAATATGCATGCAAGTATATATGTACATGTATTTAAATTGTCCATTAACAATTTCATGAGATTTAATTGAGAGCAACCCTTGTAATCATGGCAGAATTACATTCGACAGCACTAAAGAAGGTTCCTATACGCCGCTTTGTCGGAATTTGGCATGCCGCGAAACTGATGCGGCTGTGCCAAATGACGTTAGGCAATACCACCAGCTCCATCAGAATTGAGAAATACCTCTCCGACCCGTTTGATACCAAACGAGGTTGCAGACAAGATGGCTCCCTTTCGTTTGTGTTCTTTAATCTAGGCATAGGCAGCACTTGCTTATGGAGTACCGCAGGCGATGGAACGATTAGCTGTATGAGCTTTACAAGGATATGAACATAGTGCAGCGAATTAAATACCAGCGGCTACGCTGCACAATGGAAGAAATGACCAAACAGCTGGCCAATATTCCAAAAATCCAAAATTGTCCGACATAGTAATTTGTCAGGAAGAAGGTCCATTGCGTAGTGACAGGGTTGCCGTTCTGCGACTAAAGGGGCAATTTGACCCTTTTTAGGCGCCAATACCTTTTGATCCGACTTTATGAAAATTTTGATTTTTGACCCTTTTCAAAATTATGTGCGACTTTTGCCCCTTTTCAGAGATTTTGTTTTAGACCCATGCTATTAAAAATATTTCCTCCTGTACGTAGGAAAAAATGCACCACTTAAAACTTTTAAGGTAAATGAAACTCTTCTCCTTGCAACAACTCGATTGCTGTGTTTTGTTTAAAGCTTGTCCCGCTATTTTTAATAATAATCCCAACGGTTTTTTACCTTTTGGGGTTAAACTACGTGTCAGTCAGTGGCGGACCCACGGAGGGTGTTTTAATACATAGACGCCATATTATACTGTGCTTCGGTCGTTAAGACACTTAATTATTTTTTGGGATATAGAGAGCGTTTCTGACGGTATCTTAAATAATTAAATTTAAATTTTTGACACAAGTGAATATATCTAAAGGTTAATTGTAAAAGCTGTTCCAAAAAAAATATAAGAATATTTTTTATTTGATTGTTGAAAAAGTTGTGATCGCGAACGATCGCGCTTTTACTGCTGATTATGAATCCGTAAGTATAAAGTTTCCATCAGGTCCAGATTTTGAAGAAAACGAGGTCAAAGTGTCAAAAAATCGCTTTTTTGCAATACTTGTGAAGCTCTACCAAAGAAAGAAAACGTGATAAAACCTTTCAGTTAGGCTTAAATTAAAGCTAGAACTTTCGACTAATTGCTCTGAAAGTACTATCCCTGCACTTTAAGCTGATGGTCACTTATAATCTTTTATTGAACAACTAAAAAAAGTATTTGAAAAAAAAAATCGTTAAAGTGAGTTTTTACTGTTCAATAAATGACTATATATAACCTTTGGGTCAAGATGCAGGGATGGTATTTTCAGGTATGCCTAAGTTCCCCAAATATAACACTTTGAGTTTTTAAAAAATACCGTTATATGGAATTGGCCGCATTTGTGGGCGGATTTCATTTATATTAACACCTTATACTAATATTCACTAAATAAGCTTGTGTTCCAAATTTGAAGCCTCTAGGTTAATTTTTACTATATATGGCTTTTTCGTGATTTCTCCCACTGTGGACTGGCTAGGTCCTGTCGTTCGAATGGACAAGAAAGCTCCAGCTCTGAAAGTATACTCTTATTTACCAATCATAAAAATGTCGACAACGCATAGGATAAGACCCAAGGGCTGCCAGACCTAACTTGTTTTCGAAGTAACAAAATTTAAGGAAGAAGTATTATCTATGTATATGTAATTAAGAATGTATGCTTTACTTGATTAAATGTGCGTCCCTTTTACAGATAACAGGTAGATAGATACGTAAAAGTGTTAATTACTTTTGTTAAAGTCGAAGTGCTGGTTTTTATATATCTTTTACATAATATCATTAAGATTCAATATTCATTATTTTCAGACAACTTCTATTGGCGGTATCTCCCGCCAGATGCTTTAAAGTTCGCTTTGTATTGCCTTCCTTTTAAGTTTGATCAAACGCGTGGTTACATGGCGTATGAGTAACATCATTTCCTGTTCATATTTAACAGTACATACATATGTATCTGTTTTATCCGCAGGTGAATTATTTCGAACTCAGGTGCCAACAGTAAGTGTCTGGAAATATTTAATATTCCTAATAATAATATTCTGTAAAAAATATGTAAAAACCAGCCTTCGACTTTGACAAAAGTAGATAACGATTTTATATATGTACCTTTTCTTTCTGCTACCTGTCAAAGGGTCGCCTACCCATTCTTTAATATATGTGCATTAGGGTGATCTTTAGTAACTAACCTAACCAATTTATGGCCTTAAAAGACGTGAACTGGACAAAAAATTTAATCTGGTTCGTCAAAGCGGTTTTTTTGCTCTTTGAAGCGGGGTTTCGGTTCGGTTCAACGGTTCGAAAATCAAACAAAAAATAACGCGCAAGTTTAAGTATCAAGCAACAACGCGGAAGGTTAAGTGTCAAGTGTGTGTTAAATCAGATGGGTTGCCCTTACATTTGATATTACCACATGGTAAACAAATATTGTATGTATTACCATATTTAACAAAAATAAAAAGGATCAGTCCGGCGCTTTCGTCTTCCCCTGCAGGCTGTGCGGGAGCCACAACCGCTAATCTTAAACGTAGAATACGTGATATTATTAAGATCACATTCAAGTTAAAAACGGTACATGAAATATTCGCTTTGATTGTATTGAATTGAAGTGCAAAATATTAATACGTAGCAATAGAGAAGCAGATCCCCATTAACTTCAGTCATATGTACCATCAGCTTATAAATAGATATATGCCATGACGTGTATCACTACTACGATTCATTTTTATTTCCTTTCATAAATACTGCAGAAATTTGTTTTGCTTTTTATTTTAGCCTAGGTCCAAGGTATTAGTATTTTCCATCGTGTTTGTGCTCGTCTTCGCATTATCTTTGTCTTCGGATTTGTGCATAAGTTAGCTAAGACTTCTGAAACAACTGGAAACTCTCCATCCCTCTTTAATATTATTAATATTCAAACTAAGGATATCTTACCTCGTTCGTTTCACGTCATGTTTTAATATTTCATTTAACTTATGTATACTTTAATTAAATTCTGATTTTAAAACAGATGGGAACCCTATTCAAAATATTTTAAACCCAAAACCTTGTTAAACCTTTTTCGACTGACACACATATTGCGATACATATTTAAATTATATGTCTAATTCCCTTAATTCAAGTTTAATTCAATTTCTAAAACATATGGCAACCCACCTATATAAAGTTCAAAAAAAAACATTTTTACACAAGTGGAAACCCCCTTTGATATTATAAACTAAATTTTTCATAAAACTCCTTTCATTTAACTTATATATACTTTAATTTAATTCGACTTTTCAAACAGATGGTAATCATATACATTTATAATTTTCAGCCTTTATTTAAGCCGACCTTGCTTTTTGAAACAGGAGACAACCCTCCTACATACAATTAAGAAATAAAGCCTTTTCAAAACCATTTCGATCGATACTCACAGTATAACTATTGATTTAACTTAAAAATAATTTAAATTTAATATTTTTTTAGGTGGCAACTCTTTTTAAATAAATAAGAAAGTTATTGCAATCTACAGGTCGAGCCCTTTAATTTGATACCTCATTTGTTAAATTCGAACGAACAGTATAGATCTGATATGACGAAAGAGTTTTCGCGTGTTATGCAAACAAGAAAAACAGATCCACATTAACTGCAATCAATATATGTACATATGTATGTATTTATATACATACGCTGCGATTTAGTTTTAAATATTGCGCCATCTGTCACTCAAAAGCCGAAATACCTACACACCAGGGATGTTGCGAATATTTGCATTCGCATTCCTTATGCGAATGATTGGCATCACTCTAATATTGTTGAAATGGCTCTAAGTCTGTCTAACCAGGGTGCGGACAACAACCGGCTTTTAGCTTCTGGCAAAAACGGTTAAATAGTATATCAATCAACAATGATGGGCCTTCAACTGCTAAAAGTCTTATAAGCAACCTAATAATAGAAATAATTTTAGATTCCTCCAGCGAAAGCGAGTAGAATCTAGAGACATTAAAAAATGTGAAATTAAAGCTCAATTGAAGGCCTATCTTAAAGAAAAACGAGCTCATTTCGGTGGAAATCCTCTCATTCAAGTGCCGGGCTGCCAACTTGGCTCAAACCGTGCCATTTTTGGCCCTATTTTACTTCAAATGCACTTAATTTTTCAATTCGACAGAAAGTGCCAAAATGGCACTTTTGTAAAAAAAATAACATTTCAATACATTTTTGTGAAATCCATTCTTTTCTCAACTAAAATTTTTTTATTCATAAAGGTTATTCAACTGATTAATCTTATTTTATCATTGCACTTTTGTTTTGAATTTTTGGTTCTTATTTTATTGCTAAATTGGCATGATTAAAAAAAATTGCACCTTTTTGGCACTTTTATTTTTCTACTTGACACATTTTAGCACTTTTCCATCCTCAATTTGGTACCTCGTAGCTAAGGATTGTTGGCAGCCCTGTCCAAGTGAGCAATTGTTCAGTGCAGCCGGCCTACGAAATCGCCTCTGTCATGAGGCAGCAAAATTTCTTTTTTTGAAATATAATATGCTCCTTTTGAACTTTGACTACTAGACTAAAACACTGTACAGGTTGCTCTCGTTCAATGTTCTAATAATTTACAACATTTTTAAGTAATAAATAATGTTAATGTTATTCCTAACATTTGCGAATGTGAAAATTATGGCATTCGAAACATCCCTACTACACATATATACTTGTTGTCTCCTTCTCCCACTTCCAACACATGCAAGTGTTACAAAATGATAACGAAGTGATTTTGTGTGGAAAATCATTTATGCCCATATATTTTAATAAACCCCAAAATACAATAACGCAGTGGCAGTGGCAGCGGCAATTTTTCGAAATCAGCTGTTTTTTATAAAGTGTGGTGTCCAATGAAGTGACTCACAATACAGCAGTGGCAGCTAGCAGTACTGCTCAGTTTAGCCCAAATTCTAAATTCACTGCCACAGCCTTCATCGCAGCAAACTTCGCATGCTGAATTTGACATAAATGAAACGCAGCCAACATCTGTTGATGTCACTGAAGCCTAAAAGGCAACAACAAAAATGTAAACAAACAAATGGGAATGTCAAAAAAAGCAGTCACTGACAACGCCGTATTGTGTTTGCTACGGCAGTGACTGCCAATATTAACAGTAACAGCTGATTTTAAAAACTATCACTACCACTGCCACTTCGCTATTGTATTTTGGGCATAAAATAAACATACTTAGAAGATATCAACCAATACATCCCATATACTAAACGAAAGGAAAAAATTTGAGCTTGTGACAAAATCATTGGAGCGGTTTTCGAGAATTTTGGTAATAAAAAAAATTTGCTAATTTTTTCAATAATTTTTTGCCTTAAAATGCTCGATATTTGCCTAACCTATATCCCGAAAATGAAAGTTATATCTGCAAATCATAAGTTTCTAGAGCACTTTAAAGGCTCAAAATTGACCCCCAAATAAGACAGACACCGAATTGGTTCTTTACACAAATGTATTTGTCGATAGGTTTTCTTTGAAATCGCTCCACTAGTTCTCGTGCAATAAGCGTTTTGGTGAAGATCTAAAAATTACAACTACAACATTTGAGCATAGCCTCCATATCGAAAGGTAAGACGTATTCTGTGTATGTATAAATAGATGTAATATTTATTTTATACAAAAAGTTATGTTTTGTAAGTGAAATAAATCTGAATTATATATCCTATGCTGCAACTTAATCTTCATGTTCGTCTGCATGTTCAACTTCATTTTCTTCTTCAATTCAATTTTAATCGTCATCTTCATCTTCATCGCTATCCTTATATTCATCGGTCTTTTAACTTAGAAATTCTCTTCTTCTTCTTCTTATTTGGCACTGTAACCGCCTAAGCGATTTTGGCCGAGTTCAACAAAGCACGCCAGTCGTTTCTTTTCTGTGCCAACTAAAGACAATTGAAAATGCCAAGTGAAGCCAAGTCTTTCGCTACCTGGTCTTTCCATCGCATTAGGTGCCTCCTTTTTCCTCTGCAGGCACCAGCGGGTTCCGAGTTGAATACTTTCAGAGCAGGATCGTCGGTTTAATTCGCTGCACTATGCCGTCGCAAAGCTAATACAGCTCATCACTCCATCGTATGTGATACTCGCTATCGCCAACACGTAAAGGCCCGTAAATCGTCCACACATGAGCGACTTATAAAGTGTGGTTCTCGTGCGGCGAGAGAGGACTTTACTCCTGAATTGCCTACTCATTCCATAGTAGCCCTTGTTGGCAACAGTGATCCTGCGTTGGATTTCCATGCTGAAATTATTATCGGTTTTAATACTGATTCCCATATATGTATGTATGTATGTAAATATATACTAATATACATATCGTCGTTTAAAGTACAAAACCGCGTAACTGACATTGGCTGCCAAAAATTGGATTTGCTCACACAAGCTCTTGGCTCAATCCTTATCTTATGAAATATACTAGCCAGAAATGCGATTTCTTTATAAAAAAGAGAAACATTTTGAAATGTGAGTGTTTATACTCTCTAAAAAATACATTTATGCAACCTCACATACGCGGTTTTGCTTTCTGTCGATACGCGGTTTTTTACTTTAAACGGCGATATATATGAACATATATTTTGAAAGCCGTGGGAAAAGCTGCAGAAATTGCCCAGTAACAATTTTTATGTTGATTTTGATTTGCCAATAATGAGCAACTGATTGTCAAAATTTGTTCCTCGCCTAAATTTTCTCGTAGAACGTGATGCTCTTTCATAAACAGAAACACGCCGCATTAGTTGCCGCTCGAATACACCCCGTTTTTTTCTAATCGCAAAGCTGGAGAACAGTTGTACCATTTTTTTTTTAATTTCAGACACCTACTCAGACTTACCGAATGGTTATAGGCTAAAAAAAGAAAATCAATATACATATAAACCGGGCGAGGCACCTCCCATACAAACAGAATTTTTCATACTGAATATCTCTAGAAGTGTTCATGGTAGAGTACTGGAACTTGGTTCGGGGATGTATGAAATTAATCCCATACTCATGCAGAAAATTTGGGGCTCTTATTTTACGAGAAATGAGAATTTCCACATCTAATTCTCAGCTTTCACATGCTAAGGGCCAATTTTCAAACAAAAATTAAATGAATAACGCCTTGCCGGACAGTCTCTAAATTTTGCTGCAGGGTCTTTGCGATGACGTTATTTTTAAGAAATACCATGCGTCTGCGCATCTACCAACTTGGTAAACGCAAACAAAAGTCTGTCAATGAAATATACTGGAATGCATGTGACACACAACCATTTGCGTTTAGCGAGTCCTTCTTTCACCCACAGATTCACGTGTTCATGCGTTTCAAAATGCCGTCGACAACACACAACAGAAGACTATGTAATACTTTCAGTGTAGCTAGCTGTTCATGGCCGGCAGTAGTAACACGTACTTGTACGAAATATGTTCTTAGTCGCCCACACGAACAACTTTCAAAAGTTAGAATTTATCGAAAATATCCACTCGTGGTAGTTTACGGCTCGTTTTCGTTGCGTGAATCAACTTTAGTCTGCTGATTAAATAATCAAAAACTCGACATTAACGGTAAACTATAAAAATACGTGCAATTATGAGTACTGTGAAATATCTTTGATGACAGCTGACCGCTGGAATGTTCGTGTTTTTTGTTGAGGAATCCCACAAGCAAATAGGAAAATGTCACAACTATTGAAATTAACAAAGAAATCTTGTCTGAAGGTGAGCCACCATTCAATGGTTTCATTCTTAAAAGTGAAAGTTCTGTGCCGGGGTAAAAATCAATAAGACAAAGCGAATTTTATAAAGCCAATGCGAGAAAATAAAAGAGGTTACAAGAAAAAGATTGTATAATATACATACATATGTATGTATGTATGTTAAATAAAAAGGAATACGAACAAACGAATGTAGAAAGTAAATATGTATAAAAGAATGTATGTATGTATCGAGCACTAACCGCCAAAAAGAAACAGCAATTTCTTTGAAAATTTTATTTTTAATGCAGAAATGTAGATGCACTAGGAACATTTCTGCATCAAAAACAAAATTTGTTGGCGATTAGGCCACGATATGTTCGTACATAAGTGTAAAAATGCTCTTTGCCTAGCACACAAACACTGCAAAAAATTCGACAAATTCGGGATGGCGCCAGAAGCAATTATAAAGGAGCATGCGACTAATAGCACTTTTGATCTCTATATGGAATGAACTGTTCGCTTAACCTTAATAATACCCATATGAGCCTAGTTGCGACTAATAACTGCCCAATTGCTTTCAAAGTCATAGTACCAGAAAAGCCAATGGTGTGCTAATATTGGCTGGTATTTAGTGGAGTTATAGGAAAACCTCTTCGGTATAGATTCATAGAGGAAGCTGCAGTTGAAAATCAAAGACCTGACAGGGATTAGATTTTTTTTCACATTTGTGGAACATAATTGTTAACTCGCTTTGCGGCAAATGGAATGATAGGCGTTAAGATTATCGGCTACAGAAACACACTTTGTGTATTTGAGGCATAGATTATCATGTTCAATTCTTCTGGCGGAGTCTAACTATAAGTTTCTCAATTCCATTACGGGACGATTTAGGCCTCGTTCAGTCTGAAATTTCAGTTATCGTAGATAATGTCTTAGTTATAGACTGGCTGGAACTAAAGTTTTGATTTGGATTCCAGCTCAAATTGTTGCTGACAAGGACATAGAGATCACGTTAAAAATAACAAATAAGTCATCGCCTGTCCTATGGGATTCCCAGGAAAATATGTCCTGGAATGGCATTGGAAAAACAAAGTTTATATTATCTTGGAAGAAAAACTATATGTTTAAAAGGCCATTATCTAATAGCAAAGACAGACGCAAACGTTGATCCGATTAAAATTGTACCCTTACAGACGGCATTAACGCGGTTTAACTAGTAGTATTTCCATTTAATTTGTTTTTAATTCGTTCATTTTGGGGTGATTGACTTGTTTTTTGCAAACCGGCTTCAATCGGTTTTTTAAGTTTTGGCGGTTTTTTTAACTTTATTTTTTTAATACCGAGTAAACCGGATTTTTACAATCGAATAAACCGGGATTTTAAGTAGCTAGTTTATTTAGATACCAAAAACAAAACATTCTAAATATTTATTTCATTGAAAATGGTACTAGTACATTTTTATCAATTTTATATCTGAACTAGATCGCCCTCACCCGCTTCGCTGAGTGTATGCTTCATTGAGTAAAATTTATTTCAAGAAAACTTAATTAAAAAACAGGAGGTTTAAAATTTGTTTAACCATCTTCAAAATATTTTCAAACTAAAACTTTCTTTGTCATACTTTTTCAATTAACGTATCCCCTGAACTGAATTTGAGATTTTAAACAGATGGAAACTTACATGTAGTATTGAAATGAAGCCCTTGAAAGCCCATTTCGATGGATACCCATATTATAATAAATCATTTAAAATATTGAATAGTTTGAATTTAACCTTTTAAAAAGATGGCAACCTATGTGATACATATTCAAAATCATTTGGATTCATACCAAACTTCTATACTAATACATATTTTGAAAACCGTTTTTTATGTGTTCGCAAAGATCGAAACCGAACCGAACGGTTTTTTTTTTTGAAGTTTCAGACGCCTGCCCCAGATGCCCCAAGAATGGTTATAGGCTAAACAAAATTTCGATGTGCATATAAAGGCAGCGTGGCGTGATTTTTTAAAGGGTGGCAGCCCTCATCCATGAGTAATTAATGATTTTATATATCTCCATACAAAGTTCCAGTAATATGTCCAAAATATTTCCTGAGTAATGCAGTATGAAAAATTCCGTTTGTATGGGAGGTGCCGCGCCCCCTTGTCTAATCGAGATTAAATCTGTCCTATATTTTAAGTTGGGCTAAATGCCAGCAGTGTACACAATTTCATGATGATCGGTTGAGTAGTTAAAACGTGAAAGCGTACCAAACAAACAAACTCACTTTCGGATTTATAATATTAGTAAGGATAAGGATACTGGAAAAATATTTCCACTGTACCAAATTATAAAAGGAAAACCGAACAAAAATCTGTCCTTGATTTTTTGTTGTAGCAGTTTACTAAATTCCATCTATCGCCTAAATGTTGTATTTATTCTCGTCTAATGGCAGGCTCAATACCAGGGTATGGGCCGTAGGTGACCTGATGTGTGTTGGACATCTTATTCAAACTGGACTTAACAGTTTAACCTGTTATAACATACCGAATGGAGTTGTGTCAAAGTAACTCGAGCCTTAAGAAGCTCTTCGTCTGCGATAGATGGCGTTGGGCTACGATGATGGAATTCAAGGAATGAGAGCTCACGAAGGTGTTGACTGATTCTCGCTGAAGGACTTATCTATAATAGACTATATTTGTATATAGTTAGTCTAGTTCAGCGGATGGTGTATTCTCGTTCCCAAGTCATTCGGTCATACATGCCCGAGTTCTTCCCGAAAAGGATGATCTAATCTTGTCAAGAACGGTGGATCAAATTAAATGTAAAATTTTTTACAATTTTTTTCTGGTTTACTTGTAACCCAAAATACTTTGAAATAATTTGGCCTTTGTGATTTCCAAATTAAAGCTATACCTATTTTTCGCAGTCATTTTGAAATTTCGGTTATGATATCTGACAAATAGCAAGTGTTACCGGTTTGCCCTATTTGTTCTTAATATGAAAATGGGGATCTAATTTTTTTCAAATTTCGATTTTTCGAATAACTCACAAGCCTGTTTTCGCAAAAAGGCGAATAATCGAACGCCCTATTTCAATTATTATTTTATTTTTTATGCAATTATAGGTGTTGCGAGCTTTTTAATAAAATTAAACTCCAAAGATTTCAATCAACTAATAACACCGTGTGACAAAAACCATACAATTTCAAAATACTCGAAACAATCAATACACTCTCGAAACTATGGGCCAGATAAAGTGAAATTGCGTATTTAATTTTTCTCTCTGACGTCGAAATTTTTTAAAATAACTTTAAAATTTCAAAAATTTGATTAATTAAAGAATTATTTAACTCTTAACTCTTTGAAATTAAAAAAAAAAAAAATTAAGTCTTTTGGTTCACACGGGCCAATAGGTATTAAAAAAGCCGAAAGAATCGATATGGTACTCATTTAAAGTATCGCTGGAAAAATATCGGGTACCCATTATTATCGGAATAAAAATACTCGATATGGCAAATATCGATACCAAAATCCAAAAAAAAACAAATAAATATCTGAATATTGGTGTCGTATGTAGGCCGCTGTGGTTAGTGATTAGACCCTCCGAGCGTATTTCTGCCATGAAAACCAGCTTCTCATAAAAACGCCCTTTGTGGCACAACATCAAGGCGCACGCAACAAATCGGAGAAGAAGCTCGGCCATTGAGGTGTTGACTTAAACACCGAGACCGCGTGTTCAAATCCCGCCACATGCAATCCTAACGATAGAAAAAAATGTCTGTTCATTAAAGCCCAGTTTATATCGGGAAGAGTTGATAATCACATTACCTTTGTAAGTCTCCTTTCACACACGTCAAGTCTTGAAAGCAATTTTTTCGCATTCTCTTTTGTGTTTTCTATTTGCTTCCAGACGCGACAACTTTTATTATTTCAGGTTCTTGGTTCTTTAAATGAGAGGTATCTATACTCTTCCCCTCCTTCTCACCTCCTTCGCCTTGGAACAAGCAGACTTGAAAGCAAGACTTGACGTATCTGAAAGCTGACTACTTTGAGTTTATGACATTTAATACGATACTAAATAGAATTTTGGTACTCGATTCCAAAAAATATTTTAAAACTATCGAGTAAAAAATATCGGTATTGAATGCCAAAATTATCGATATGGTATCGTATCGTATCGAAATTCGTGTCCCTAGCGCCGTGTTCAACATATGTATGTTAAGCGCGTTGATTTTTAATAACATAACAAACGCTTTTATTTCCCAGTAGCAGACCCGGCTATTTTATTGAAACTTTTTGGTCCAACATTTTCACCAACAATTCACGTTTACGATTTTCATTGGCACATTCGTCTGCTAAGATTATGGTTTGGTGGCCATTTGCCGCTTTAAATAACCTAAGGAAAGTGTTATATCCGGTTGTGCGGAATTTCTTAACACGGTTATTCGCAAAGTGAAATAAATTTTTTCCTCTTCACTCCCTGGCGGCAACAATGACCCGGTTCTATAGTGAATGTCCTAGAAGCTTTAGAAGCTAAGTTAGTGGCAATTTCAAAATGGGTGCGGATCATTGTTCTACAGAAATGCAATATACATCTACGATATACTCAATGGTGCAACAGCTCGATTTAATCTGACCTTCACGGCCCCTTTCTCACTTGGCTATTTTTAGTAATAACTTGACTTCAGCACCACTTGGCAGCACGTTTTTGCAATAGTATTGCATACATATTTAAAACATTAGCCAAATCGGATCATAAATAAGAGTTTTAGTATTAACTCAACTACAGCGTCAACTGTCGGATTAAATTGTGAAACTAAACCATCCAGAGACACACTCAAACACACACAAAAAGTTTCGTTAAAATCCGTACAACCATTTAGGAGGATTTCACTCACAAACGCACCTACAGAAGAATTATAAATACATTCAAAGATAGCTAAAGGTCAGTACGTTTGTAGGCCTCACACCCCCTTTTCAAATAGCCAAATTTTCTCCATGAGTATGGGCTTGATTTCAACTATATACATATCTCCATA